AACAACCAAGCATATGCCAAAACAGTACTGTTCAAGTATTCATTCACTTCCTTGTTTTGTATAAGCGTTATATTCCCTATTATCTTATATTGAATGTTGAGAGCCTTTGTTTGTCTGAACAGGTAATCGGACGCTCCACTGTCACCGCGCTAAGATCGAAATAAAGACCTATTCACTACTTCTCTGGTTTCTTCTATCAATAGCACGAGGGCTATTTTAAGGCACGAAACTTCCACTTGATTCGATCCTCAAGCGGCCAATCTGGTCGAATACGGGTATTTGAGGCACGAGTTTTTAGTGCGCTTTTCAATAATATGTCTCTTTCTTCAAAACTCCCGAGAACCAGCTTCAGGATCCTTCTTGGTTGGGTCTCGCCTCCAACCCATTTACCAAGTCGTATTAATTTTGTAATATGTACCCCTGAAATCTCTTCAGGTAGTACATTCCTTACCACAGACTCCACTAACTGCAGGTCGTGTGCATGTCTTCTAGCAGGGTCGTTATCTTTCGACTCCTCTAGATTCCAAATAATTAAACTAGGAAGGGGTTTAGCTTCCTTTGAAATTGTGTTAACAGCTTTCGACCGTGACGATAGATCCTGTATATTAACTACTGGTATCTTACGATTGGCCTCTATTGTAATAGAGTCCTGTGGGTCGAGCGAGTGACTCACAACAGCGTTAGACGAAACTTTACTTTGGAGCTTTGGCGGATTGGTCTGAGAGTCCACCAAGGACTTATCAAGTAAACAGTCATTAGTTTTAGCTGTCTTTCCTACTCTTCTGCGTTGTCGCGTAATCCATTTTCCATCAGTCGAAACATCTACATTCGAACAACTCGGGACAGTAATTGTCTTATCTGGATCACTAGTCACAGCTGTAGCAATATGGCCACCAACGTCTAATGAGGTGTCACTCACTGATCGTTTCGGGGGGGAACGTTTAACTGCGGGTTGCACAGTTAGATGTCTAGCTTGCGCCATGACAGCACTTACGACGCTAACGCAATCTTCGCCATCAGTACCAATGTTACCAGTACGGCTCTCATCAACCTTCTTATTAGCCAACATCAAGAGACTAATTGCTTCCTGGATGAGTAATGTTTTGCTCGAGCAACAAAAACTACAATGCCAATGGGAGTCTGGCTTTGAGTACTTTTTATATGCAGTGGGGCTTAATCGGGTGCATATCTTATGGAACAACTTATTACACTCATCACATTGCATCCCTTCCTCCACGGGAAATAAGCAATATGGTTGTCCACATTTATGTGCAGATCTAGCCATCTTGAAAATCAACTAGAACGGTGACAAAAATAGGATATGTAAAAGGATTCTCAAACCTCAACCAAATAAATCAATTAAAAGTCAACCAAGTATGCTTCAATGCAACAAATACACATATGCAAAAGCGAAACACTCAATACAATATCACTTTACCCGGGGTAGATGCAATTAAAGTGTAAACAGTAGTTTTGATGCGTAACTTAAGATCAAAACAGTTAATTAACTCAACGAGAAACAATACCACTGTCCTATATAATTGAAGAGTCTGTTCTGGCATGACGAATACAAAGTATAGCAATAAACGAAAAGTCCACAAATACAAAAAATCGCAATATACAAAAATTAAAGTGAAAAATTGGGGTATAAAGTTCCAACAGGGAACAAATTCACAATTCACGAGTTGGTGTACGAGATAACGTCAGCTTATCATCGAAGATGCCATAGATATTCGTAGTTTGACAATACTTAAACCAGTACCGCCTTCCATGATTGAACCGTGCCCTCCCAGTAAAATCAGAAGTCAGAAGCGAGGAGGTTCGAAGATATATTTGATAGCTAATCAATACATCGAGAAGTGACTGATCTAAAGTGGCTAGCGATTACAGGAGAATGTGAGCGCGGCGTTCTCACTCATGATCTACTTTGGATGCGTGACCGAGCGCCTTCAGCTAGGTGAGTCCATTAAAACTAATGTTATTTACCTACTTACGCCTGTTACTTCCAATGGAACATAGGCCGCCGACCAGAATTCTCCAACAGCTTGTCGTGGGCTTTCCTTTTTAGTTCTACCCAATCTTTGTTCATTCTTCTCATGTCTGTCTTCATTTCTCGGCGTAATGGGTTCTTTGGTCTTCCTCTTCTCCTCCTTTGGCCTTGAGGATTCCATGTGGGGACTTGCCTCGTGACTCAATTTTGTGCCTTTCTCAATGTGTCTTATCCAATTCCAGTGCTTCTTCCTGATTCCTTCCTCCGCTGGGATCTGGTTTGCTCCCTTCCACAATAAGTTGTTGCTGATATTATCTGGCTAACGGATCGGAAATATTTTGCGTATACAACTGTTGATAAACGCTTGTATCTTCTGGATTATGACTTTCGTAGTTCTCCAGGTTTCCGCTTCATACAGTAGAACTGTCTTGACATTTGTGTTGAAATCCTGACCTTGGTGTTGGTTGACAGTTGATTTGAGTTCCAGATGTTCCTCAGTTGTAAATATGCTGCTCTCGCTTTTCCGATCTGCGCCTTCACATCTGCATCAGATCCACCCTGTTCATCAATGATGCTGCCCAAATGCGTACAGGTTTTTACATCTTCCAAATCTTCTCCGTCAATTGTGATTGGATTGGTGCATGCTATGTTGTATCGGAGAATCTTGCTTTTCCCTTTGTGTGTATTGAGACCTACTGCTGCTGAGGCTGCTGCCACACTGTTTGTCTTCTCCTGCATCTGTTGTTGCTTTTGGAATAGAAGGGCCAGATCGTCTGCGAAGTCTAGATCATCCAACTGCATCTTAGATGTCCATTGTATCCCGCGCTTTCCTTCAGATATTGACGTCTTCATGATCCAGTCGATCACCAGGAGAAAGAGAAAGGGTGAGAGTAAGCAACCTTGCCTAACACCGGTCTTCACTTTGAACGACTTTGTCAACTGTCCTCCATGCACGATTTTGCAGTGTAATCCATCATATGAGTTCTGTATGATATTGACTATCTTCTGAGGCACGCCGTAGTGTCGAAGAAGCCTCCATAGCGTTGTTCTGTCCACGCTATCAAATACATTTTCGTAGTCGGTGATGTTGATGTAGAGTGATGAATCCAGTCTGTTGGTACTAGTTCTTCTTCCTAAATCTTGCTGAAGAGAATGTGAAGTGTCTTTGCAGTTACTGATACGTCTGCTTTCAGTGCCTCTGCTGGAATTTTGTCTGGTCCCGCTGCTTTGTCGCTTTTGAATTGTCTGATATTCGTGCTCATCTCTTCAAATTTTTACGTTTGTCGGCTCTGATGCTTCCCATCACTTGCTTGTTTACTTCTGCGTATTCAGCTTGTGCCTTGGCTCTCTCTGCTCTTATTCGTTTGGTATTGATTGCTGCTTTCTTGTTCCTCCTTTCTTGAATCTTATCCAGTGCATCAACAGTGATCCTGATGATATCACAGGTATTCAGTGTTTGACAACGCTTCTACCAGTAATACCTTCTAATATATTTCGTTCCCACCCAGAAAAATCAAAAGACAGAGTCGAGGAGATCGGAAGAGTATATTTGGCGATGACCAATATATCGGAATTCTCTGATCTAATCTGGCTAGCGATTGCGGTTGATGTTGAGCACGGCGTTACCACACGTGATCTGGTGCGGATGCATGACCGAGCGCCTTCAGCTAGATGAGTTCACTAAAACATATGGTCAGCATCCAATGTCGAAAACTTAGGGCTATTTATTTTGGGGATTTATTTACCGCTACAATCCATTCCTTGTGATGGTGCTTCTTGTGGCACAGAACCTCGTGATATGTTGAAGTTATTGTTTCTTTCATCTCTTTCTTGTTGCTCTCCATAGTTGTTCTTTCTCCATTGAATGGATCATGAAAGGCCTGGAACTTGTTGCTGAGGACTATCTTGAATTTGCTGAGTTTGTCAGTATCCCGAAGAAAGGCCGTATTGAACTTTTGTGATATTGTCCTCCCCGTTGTCCAGTGCTTCTTGAGTTTCAGTTTGATCTTGGCGACCAGCAAGTGATGATATGATGCTATATCAGCTCCTCTCTTGGTTCACACATCCTCCATTGTCCTCCTGAACTTTTATTGATGCCGATTTGGTCGATTTGGTTCTGTGTAGTGTGAGACGGTGAAGTTCGTGTGACTTTGTGTATGCGCTTTTGTAGGAATATACAGCCACCATTTTCGTTCCTTTCCACCAGTCCATGTCGTCTCATGATGTCTTCACATCAGCCTCATGACTACCGAAGGAACACGGCTTTCACTATGAGGCGTAATAACTCTTCTAAGTGAAGGATTTCTATCTCCTAGAACAGACTACAAATGGGTTGAATTATTTTTTCCGGTTAGCGCTGTTTTTTAGCGAGTTACTTTTCTACGTGATGGGGTCGCCAACCCCCTTGCCCAATCCTCCTCCTTTATCCGGGCTTGGGACCGACAGTAGCCCCAGAGAAGCTCCAGGCAGAGTTAAAATAACGTGACCAGCATCAAATATAGATAATTTACAGAGTTATTGATTTTGGGAATTTATTTATCGCTACACTCGATATAACTGTCCATCTGAACCAGGAACATCGCTATTTTGAATGATATTTTGTTTTCTTCAATTAGAATGTGCGAAACTCTTCAACTTTATATTAAATGTCAAGCGTCTCACTACTTCTGAGGCAGAGACTAATTGTACCTGCTTAGGTTTCGTGAACTATTTTAAGGGCTGATTGATTCGAAACTTGAACGCGCCAAGGTCAGCACTCCTGTATTTAGAGAGTAGACTGTCTCCAGTTCTGCTAAACTCTAAGCCAGTTTGTAGGAAGTAGACTGAAGTCAGTTCCCATATTTTGTAAAGTCTCTCTGACTTATTTACAATAAATATTCATTAATTGTAAATGTAGTACTAGCTTCATAATCTATTCGACAACAATTGGAATCAAGTTAGCAAATGAATATAATTAATAGCACACCAAGCTTTATTGTTCTCATTGAGTAGTCGCATAAAATGACCATTAAAATACCTTTGGGAAGGATATATGTTTCCCAGTTAAATACAGAAAAACTCAAGTTATAGGTCATGTTGTTACTTAGGAAGTCAATTTTTAAAACAAACAAAGCTTTTCTCACGCTCATTCTTAGCCAGACAATTGTATACGTGGGTTACAAATTGTAAAACAAGCGGTATCTATGCTTCACTCTAAAACCTCCCTATTTTGGGGTTTTTCCACAGTCGTAAGAAAATTGGTAGTTTTCCCCCAAAGAATTCACTACGCGTGATGAATTCTCTTGTCCTAATATCAGCAATTTGCATTCTTCATCTGGAGAAGGGCATAGAGGTACTACTAACCAATGATGTATGCCAATCGAATGTGTTCTTACATTCTATACTCTGAACATATGTGTTCGGGGTATGTTTCTAAGCCAGCATCCTAAATAAGGCATATGGTAAGTGAAGTCTGCAACTTCTGCATACCCTAACCGCTGATGTGAAAACCTTTTGAGAAAGTAACCGTAATTGCAACTTATTATCTCGTGACGGTTCAAGTTATAAATTTAAAGTATTTCTGGTATGTTTGCGGATTGATTAGTCCCCTGACTGATTGAGGAATAATCTTAATATTTTGGTCGGTTCTCATTTTATTGCTCTTATCAGTATTAATTTTTAGTTACTTAGTCAGACAAACGCAGTACTTGTGGGTATCTGTTCAATTTGTCACACCCCACTAGCTCTGCTAGATGTATACCCTAACGCAAATCTTGAAGTCGTAAAGACAGTAACAGTACTACTGGTAGTGTAAAAATTAAGCGTCGCAAACACGATTTGAGAAGATACAAATTAGTAAAATAAAAGGATTACGAGGAATTTAGAAATATACGATCGAATCGAGGACAGAGTGAATGGACCTAAGTCATTGAAGACGATTGTGAGTGGGTTTCACCTAATCTCTGACCATTTGTTATGATCAGGTGGACTCGAACCAGGTAACCTGCACCTCTCTACCTACATGATTTAATCCAATATTCAGTGTCTTCATGGACTGATGCCATCTCTTGAGTTGGCTGTCCTTATCTTTTTTTCAACCTACTCTTATTCTAGTCAATCTCTATGTCTATGGAAATTACTTTTCTCACAGATGATGAACTCTCTATTCTAGTCAATGTCGCCCATCGATGTAGTTGGCGGGTGGACATACGTAGTATATGTCCTGACCGTCTCAGCCGATAAAACTTCACATCTTTGTCGATCGATCGACCATCTTTACCTTTTACTGTGTTTAACCACAAAATCGGTAACTGGATGGTCCTAAAATATGTGAGCGATGCTCTGAAGTAACCTATAAACGATTCTTAGCAAACCATAAGTCTCCCTAAATTTTAGCGTCCAAGTTTCACAGCCATAAAGTGAAACGAAGAGAACTGGGTAGTGCACCTGTCCTTTAGACGACAGATGGGTATCTTACCTACGTCACAAATGATCCAATTTTGCAAAAGCCAATTGAGCTATCTGGATTCGTGTTGAATTTCCGTCAAACACCAACACATCAGTCACTAGTATTTGAATAACCCACACAATCTACTCTAGTATTCTTTTAGGTGTAATTTGTCTTCACTATTATCGTATTCTGACTTCAATACATAATAATAAATGTCATCATCCAACAGTCCATTCTTATAGTGAGTAAGGAAGTGGACCTGAGATCGCATATGGATTTGTGTTGTTTGTCAACAAAACGTTTCGTTAAATGCTTGTATTATGAAGCAACCAAAAAACAAGATGTTGAAAAGTTTTCTGAAGTTAGGAGTAAAGATTACGTAGTCAATCCTAACGGTGTAGATCTGTATACGCAGTCTAGGAGAACATTTGAATGTAGTAATGAAACCTACCATCGAACACTAATTTATTCAGTAAAATATATGCTAGCTCCATTTACATGGAATGCATCACGATAGTTTGCGATAAGCCACTAGTATTTCCGACGTTCTTTGTATTCTATTACGAAGTCATCGACCAGATGACCTGGGTTGTCTAAGATTATTCCACTGATAAATGTAACGAGTAGCCCCACAAGTGATTTTCAAGGATCACTTTGTACGTTATTTACGTGGAGTGTTGTCTCACACGTTGACTCTGTCACTACGCAAAGAACTATGTTTTAATAACTGTCTTTTATGTCCGTATGCAAATAAATATTGTTTATAAAATCAGAGTAATTGGGAACTTTATCCAATACCATGCCTTATATATAATAATCTTATACATATACATAACTAGACGAAATATTCAGAAACCCTTAGACAGAAACTGCAATATATCTGCCTCTCAACCAACCAGCAATGCTCATCGTTATATTCCTGTTCGTTTAGTTGTCTGTGCGATTCGTCTCTCTTTTATTGCTTCATTTGTGTGGTGCATTTTTCGAGGCACCCTATTGTAACAGTATTTATGTACTACAGTGTTTTTTTTACTCAAGCACGTAACTCGGTTTGTGGAGTACAAAAGTAAACATTGAACTGTCTAGGGAATTCGTTTTAAAATTGAACACTAGTCTATATAGACTTGCTGTAAGCTTTCTTAAGATGTCAACTGCATCAGTAGTCTTAACACTAAAAGACTAATTGTCGTTGGGTAAAATTGTAAGGCAAGTTACATAATTTGCCTAAATTTCACTTCTTCGGTTTGTTACCAGACATTCCGTTATCATGGAGTTGGGTTAAACGTTTTCAACAGACTTTGGTATTATATTATTTTCATATTGTTTTATGTATGAAATAAAAGCTATGAGTTTGTATTTACACCAAATTTCGTTCCAAAGTTTCGTTCACCTGCTTTTTGCTTCCTCTTTGAACTGAATACTAAATTCTCAGTCCATTTTTTTAGATGGAAGACTCCGTGTATGTAACTAAACTCCCCGCTCCACGTGAAGTATCACCACTCATACGAACAGCGCGTTGGGGATTGTTAGCTGCTGGGATTGTTTATGGAGCTCTACGCCTAAAATATCTTACTAGAAGGGAAAAGAAGATATCCGAACGTGACCGTGCAATTATAGAAAAAAGATTGGAAGAGTACAATGAATTGTGTGCTCTACAGGCACAAAAATCTCTGGAGGAGTTATCTAAAGCAACTGGTGTACCGTTGGATCAGTAGATAACATAATAAACTTTAGAAACCACTGTGATGTATATCACTTCCAATTTTTTAGATATATAATCAGTCCACTTTCTTTTCTTTTTACTTGTTTTCAATTTTATACTAACAAGATAGCACTATACAAATCAAAACTGATGAAACCCTCCGTGTCACGCTTTAATCCTTCTACACCTGACAGGGTTTAAGAAGCTGTGTTATTAGACTTAACATAAACGCGACTCATAAGCTAGTACCGAAACCTACACAAAAACTAAAGTCACTTGATTACCTTATAAATTCGTATTAACAACAGGCTCGTTTATATTTATCAATCTGTGCCACTTAATATTTGTAGAAGCATACTGTACAGCATTGTGCTCTGTATGTAACCCCATAAATAAATAGAAAAAAAACACGTAAAACGAAATAAGACTCATACCCGTTGCACAAGCCCATCTATCTATACTCGGTAGATAACGCACGCAATGGATAACTAGGTCTAATTGTACTGGACTTGAGTCCCAGCGTAAGCATCAACGCTAGAATGTGGGTACATCTAGCCGGCGATCCTCAAATCAAACGAAGCGCGTGTCCTGTATTCCGCTACCACCCATTTCCCGACTTTGCTAAAACTTGTGTATTTTATATTTAAGGTTGTTTATTCGGCTTCTATGGCTCAAATCATTGTTTTGAGACACTATGAGAGATCGAAGATTTTATAGTTTGAAAGTCGTAATATTTTGTTTTTATGTGGATCCTTTATGAATTTTTTTATAGGCCTTATTTCTTACTGATTATGTTTAACTCACTTTTTGTCTATTATATACTATGTTGTTCAGCGTCGTAGTGCGTTGTGAAGTGAAAACCTTAAATAAATGGTTTACGTAAATGTAAATTATTAAGCAAGTACATAGTTTGCATTGAACTCTGATTATTATAAAGAACAATACTACCAACCAGTCATTGTCAGCATTGAACCTGACAAATGTGCGCTATCCCAAATTTCTATACCACATCATCACAACGAAGTGAAACTAACAAGATGAATAACAAAAGTCGAGGTAATTCTATTAGTAGTGATAACGCTAAAAACCCTAACCAGGTAGTCTGAACTTTCTAACAGGACTCAGACTAGCAATTAGTGAACTCACGGACTGATGTTATGTTTTGGTTTAGGTCCCACCAGCGCTTTTCCAAACTACTACAACAGCCTCTGTAAAAGTAGGTGATGGTCGAGCATACATAGCACGTGGATCACGAACCGTTCGACTACAGTTTCGAACTCTACCGTACTCTGGAGTGTCAGGTAGCATCGCCGGTTTTAACACAAAATGAGTTTCGAAACGTAATGTGCAAACCTGTAATTGATTAGTCAATCCCATTAAATAAAAGTAACAGTAGAAGTAACCAAATCAGTATAATAGATAGTCATAATTAACATGATGTTCGGGACATATGATGGTTAACCCAAGTTCCCATACCAAATCAACACATCAAGATATACTTAACCAGATAAGTAGAAAATGAGTCGAAATAATAATGGTAGTGGTGATAATGATAAGCGATCATTTAGAGTACAAAAAGACAAAGCGCAATGGTATGTATGTGTAAATATTCGATCTCAAGATCTGGAGAAAGGTAAGAAGTTAATGCATCTCCACTATGAACCGTGTCACTCAAATTCTCTAACCACTTATCTTGTTTATCGTGTGGTTCGAAAGCATATAGTGTTTATCTGCCAACATGACTCAGAACAGCACTAGTAACCTTGTGGATTGGTCCTATGTCTTGGTTTGGTCCCTCCTAACCTTATCGATTCACTCCCACACCAGGAAACATCGCCTATCCATGTGAGAGGTGATTAGGCATACGTAACGTCCTAATCGCGTCAGTTGACGAGTAGTGTTGGTAACGTTCATTCAACTAAAGTGAACCTTGAAGCTAATCACATAAGTACGTACCGATAAATTTCAACCTGTTCAAAAATGATAGTTTTCAGTATATGGTACTATTAATTTATTTGTACAATAACTACCAAAGAAGTTGGCTTCCGTATCAATAACCCTGAAAACCTTTATTCTTTTAATTAAAAGTATCTGAATTATTATACAAACTAGGAATCCCCGAAATAGCTCAATTTAAACCAGATAGAACTGGGTGTGTACAGAGGAATCATTAGTTCATACAAACACCACAATGACTTACACCAATAATTTGGTTTCGTGAGCTGTTATCACTCAATGATTGTACCATTCCATTCATCTAATCATCAGCATTAATTAAAGCCAGAGTAATCCTGAGATCGTTGCCCGTTTTTGCCAATCAGGAGACAGCAAAGATAAATGATTAATTTATTATGCTAGGATTAGGGCTCAGAATATCCAGTTTAAGATTCTTACATTATGGCTGATGTCGATCCGTGACAAAAAAAGCTAACGCGTGACCTAAAAGCGCTTTACGCGTTCACCATTGGCTAAACAGTATAGCTTCACTTTATCCAATGTACTTGCCCACAAATACCCTAACACGGCCGAGAGTGGGGAGAGTCCGCTCTCCCTCTCGAAATACTCTCACATGGCCACGTGTATATAGCCTCTGCCAGGGAAGTCCTACCCACTACCTTCTCGTGGCGGGGGTGTTGTTTACGAAAATGAGGGGACGAAAAGAGAATGTACGGCGCTTTAACCGGATTCCAAACCAATGGTGCACATGGGCTCCAGTATCCTGCGGGAACAAATGGCGTATGAACCAATTGTTGGTCACCAGCTTTCATGGGACTGCATCTCCTCACGATGCTCCACTGCCTTGTGGATCAGACCTTCAAGTCGAGGGCTCGGGGAGTGGCCCCCTAAGAAAACCGCCTGCTTCGATTTGGGCACCCGGGCAGTAACACAGCCTTCACACATATCGAATGAGATTTGTGTGGCGCATATGTATTTGGTGCCTCGTTGTACCAATATCTATGTATTGAAATAAATAATCCAACGTTCTGTTGATTTAAATGAAAAGCTTTTAAACCGTAGATCACTCATGAAGTCAATAATAAAGAAGTAACTCTATGATATCATTGGATGATAATTGGGCTATATCACAAATAATACAAGTATATTACCACATCAACATGAATCTCGGATGGCATAAGAAAAACAAACTTTAAATATCACTCGTAAGAATGTATATTCGTTTAGAATAGCAAGAAAATTATAGGCTAAACAAAATAAACTGAAATAATAGCGTTGTTTTACTGTTTTTCTTTCACTAAAACTAGAAAAAAAAAGATAATGAAATAAACAAATGCATTGGTTGTTAGATTTTGTCTTTTCAAGATTTTGAGGTCAGTTTACTTTAGTTAGTGAATTATTTCAATGTAATTAAATTAATGTACAGGTATGATTATATAACTATTTTTCATATGTGGAATGTTTACACATATCACTTATGATAACAAAAGGTATTTAGAATAATTAGTATAAGCCAACGAGGATGTGTATAAATTTGACGATCATCTAAAATGAAATGTAAATGATAGTATGTATTTCATGCAATAATTATTAAATTTTTAGAAATTTAAGACAGTCTAATTGTTATTCACTGTTGATGATAAGGATGCTGACGACATTGATGATGATGTTGATGAGGAGGAGGAAGTGGAAAAGGAGGATAATGTCATAAAATTCGATTGATTTAATGAATTGTTATTAAGACCTTTTATGTTCGATAGTAAATTAAACCATGAATTCAGCATAGTCACAGGTACGGGCATCCATACACATTTATTCTCTGACATAGATAACGTCGGTAAGGATGACATACTCGTGTTATCAGTTCTACTATTGTTGTAAGTGGTGTTTACTGTTGAAGAATTTAAATTCGACGCTATTTTCGAATCAGATAACATTACATTTTTTGTCAGTGGTATCTTACATTCACCAGCAGAAAAATAATCATTCCTTTTCATATCTTCATTATGATTAGCAATTTGTTCATCTTTCATAAGATTCGCTTTTGTTAAATTATTATTATTATTTATTGGAGAATATTTGTTTATAAACATTAAATTATTATTTGAATGATTTCCTGTTGAGTTTAAATGATTTAAACGTGTCAGTTGTTCACCTAAACGTTTCATATTAATTGAATGACGTTTATTATGTAACTTGGTTGGTAGTTCATCAGAATTTCCAGTTATTGATTGTTTAGTTGAATAATCTCTTAACTTTTCTATGATATTATTATTGTCTGTTAGATGAGATGAATTAATTTGGTGTTGTATACTTTGCATTAGAGGATGTTTAGATTCATGGGTTAATTGTGAATGACAACTACATTCACAACACGGTGATCGAGGTCTGTTATCTTGATTACAATATTGTTTAAATTGTAATTTCTCAGATGTTTTTAAATTTGTAGCAGTAAAATTCATTGGATTATCTTTTTCATACTGTGTAAAATCTTCAACTTTCCATAATTCTGAATCATAATTATTCATCAAGTCCGGATGATAATTAGCGTGTAAATTCACTGGACAATTATCAATATTTTGATTATTCATCAATTGATGATTATCGGTAATATTGGTAATAATTTTCTCTTTATTTAACATTGAATTGTTTTGTCCTATTCGACAACATGTATCAGTTGTATATATTTGTTTTTCTTGATCAACATTGAATTGTTCAATATTATGACAATTAAACAGGTTCAATAAGCTACCGGATTGTTTGAAACATTCCATTAACCGAAAGTTATTAAGATAATTACTTTGTGACATCATAGATACCCAAGAAGAAATAAAATCACTTAGGTCGTTAATCTCATGTGAAGCTTTAATCTGGCTCGGATCAGACAAGGTTGATATTGATTCACCAACATGATTTAGCAGGATATTATTGTCATTATTATTGTTATTATCATGATTATTATTATTATTATTTGTAATGGTATTCGTTTCGTAGTTGTTCTTATTCAAATATGAATTGATAAATGTTGTAATTGTTGTTATATCCAAATTATTAGGA